TCATAAGCTGCCATGAGTCACATGACTTTGCATGTAACTGCTTGTAACTACTTACTTTCTTGGCTGTCATGTGTCCCAAGACTTTCCACTGGAATGTCGTGGTACATTTCCATTGGACCAACAGCTTCTTAGGTTTTCATATGTCCCATGACATTGCATGTAACCACTTGTAATCGCTCACTTCCTAGGCATGTCCCATGACTTTGCATGAAACCACTTATAACCGCTTGCTTCCTTGGCTGCCATGTGTCCCAAGACTTTCCACTGGAACATCGTAGTACTTTTCCGTTAGAATCAACCAGCTTCCTAGGTTGCCATGTGTCTCATGAATTTGCATGTAACCACTCATTTCCTAGGCTGCCATGCGTCCCATGACTTTACATGTAATCACTTGTAACCACTCACTTCCTAGGCTGCCATATGTCCCATGACTTTGCATGTAACCATTTGTAACTATTTGCTTCCTTGGCTGATGTCCCAAGACTTTCCACTGGAACATCGTAGTACCTTTCTATTGGAATTGACCTGAGCAATCTTCTTATAGAAAGTGGAAAAATAGGGTGTAAACATTGCCCCCCAAATTTGATGTGCCTGATATTCTTTGAAGAATTGTAAGGCATATCAAATATTAGATGTGAGTGAGAATTTGCCATGTGATATTCCTATTATTAAGGAATTGAACAACTAAAACTTTTCATGCGTGCTACGTGGATTTCAACTCCTAATCCTGCACCCAAAAGGCCCATGCATCCTCATATACTGAATCGACGGTATATAGATTATATGTCGCTTACAAATGATGGTGAGCCTGAATGATATGATAAACCATGTCAGGTTAAAGATGTTAGCAAGTGGCAGCTTGCAATGGAAGATGAGATGAAGTCCCTTATCTCCAACAAAACATAGGAACTACTCAAGTTACCCATGGGGAAGAAAGCTCTTCATAACAAATGGGGGTACAGGGTAAAAGAGGATCATGATGGTTCCAAGAGATACAAGGCGAGGTTAGTGGTCAAAGGCTTTCAGCAAAAGCAGGGTATTGACTACACAAACATTTTTTTCCCAGTTGTGAAACTGAGTACCATTCACTTAGTTCTTAGTATTGCTGCAGTAGAGGGGTTGCACCTTGAGCAGTTAAATGTCAAAAACTGCTTTCCTCCATGGTGACCTAGAAAAGGAGATTTACATACAACAACCGGAGGGTTTCTTAGTCCAAGGAAAAGAGAACCTAGTATGCAAGTTGAAGAAAAGCTTGTATGGTTTGAAGCAAGCCCCGAAGCAGTGGTACAAGAAATTTGATGGTTTTATGAAGCGACATGGCTACAACAAGTGCAATGTTGACCATTGCTGCTACTTCAAGAGGTTTAAGTCAAGTTTCATTATCTTTCTACTTTATGTTGATGACATGTTAGTGGCAAGTTATAATTTTAAAGAAATCAGCAAATTGAAGAAGCAGTTGTCTACTGAATTCGAGATGAAGGATTTTAGTGCAGTGAAGTAGATTCTTGAGATGAGGATTAACAGAGATAAGCAGAAAGGTACTTTGAAGTTGTCTCAGGCTGAGTATGTTGAATGGGTTCTAAAGAGGTTCAACATGAATAATGCTAAGGCGGTGAGCACTCTCTTAGCTAGTCACTTTCGATTATCTCAAGATCAGTACTGTCCGAAGACAAATGATGAGAAAAACTTTATGGCTAAAATTCCATATGCCTCAGCCATTGGAAGTTTGATGTATGCCATGCTGTGCATAAGACTGGACATTGCATATGCAGTGGGAGTAGTAAGCATGTTTATGAAGGATCTGTGCAAGCTATGCTAGGAAGTAATTAATTAGATATTAAGATATCTACGGGGTAGCACAGACAGATGCCTATGTTTCAGAAGGGGCGAAGAGAAGCTATATGGTTAAGTAGATTCAAACTTTGCTGGAGAGGTGGACTATAGAAGAAGTACTACCGGGTATGTGTTCACGGTGGGTACAACTGCAGTTAGTTGGGTTTCGCAAACACATAGGATTGTAGCGTTATCTACTACAGAGGCAGAGTATGTGGTAATAACAGAGGCCAGTAAGGAGATGATTTGGTTACAAAGTTTGTTGACAGAGTTGGGATTTGAACATGTGAAGAATGTTTTGCACAGTTATAGTAGAGTGCGATATATTTGGTAAGAATTCAACATGTAATTCAAGGACAAGCATGTAGGACTTCGGTATCACTTCATCAGATCTTTGTTAAAAGATGGAGTGTTGACACTTGAGAAAATACTTGGAACCAAGAATTCGGCTGATATGTTAACCAAGATAGTGATCATGGAGAAACTGAAGCTGTGCGCAGTTTCAGTCAGTCTTCTACCTTGAAGAAAGAGATAAGCGCACTGACATGTATGGAACATGCATGAGAAGAAGATGGAATGAGTTTACAAGTGCTCCAGCCTCCAAGTGGGAGATTGTTGTGGTTTTGTGGAGTCTGATTTCGTGAAAATTTTTTAGGAAGATTTAATTATATGGAAATTTCAATTTTCTGATCTGTTTTAACTTCCTTATTGATTTTGGGATCTATGAAAGGCAATTTCTTTTTTTTTTTTTTTTTTTTTTTTTTTTTTTTTTTTTGTCTATATATATATATCAACTCTAATAAGATTTTATGGTGTGAAGAAAAGTGAGAAGAAAAAGGAGAGTATCATCGTACATGTTGTATGATTGATTAATTTGTGCCAACACAAGATAGAGCAATTGAGAGAGATTGAGAGAAAATTCTCCATTATAATTCTTTATGTTTTTCAAAGTAAAATTTGTTGAGCGCGTTCCATAAATGTAGTCCTAAGATTTGAGTGAACCATATATATCTTATATTCTTGTGTGTAATTTTTTTTATTCTTCGTAATTACTTGGTTATTTCGCAAACAATGTTATGTATTTTACGTTTCTGTCGCAACAATTGGTACGAAAGAATTCCATTAATTTTGCAAAGCAACTCCAACATGATGCTTGTGTGGTTGATATCTCTCCTGTCTTCTTTGACATCAATTCAGAGCTTTCTCACTTTCTGGTTGTGCAGTGGGGTCTTATTTACGATGAAGTTTTTGGTGGATGTATTTTTAGTCAAAAGGGATGTGAAGTAGAAAGATTCCCAACTTTCTGCTTTGTCAATTAATTAATTATTTTTTAAGTTGTTGGAGTGTTTCAATTTTTTCTTCGTTCTTGTCCTCCAAGCCAGACTCTCTTAATTTTCCACACAACGCATGCATGCACGTCAGCAATCTGGTTACAAGACAATACTACTTGCCTTAGGTTATCGCAAACATCAATTTTAAGCTAGAATAATTATTGTTTTCGAAATAAATTATGCCACTATAAGATATATAGCATATTATTGTTCTATTGTGACTTTCTCGGATTTTAAAAAAAAAAATTAAATAAAAAATAGATTAATTTCAACTTATCAATCATTCAATCCCAAAGCAACATTAAAAGCTCTAAAAATAACGTTTAATTATATTTTGTTTGTAAATAATAGGGATAATATTTTCACCTTACTGTTTGTTGGTTGGAAGGTGCATAAAAATCTTAAGACCGGTCAAGCTTAAAATTAACATAACAAATTATCAACATATATTTGTAATAACTCAATCTGTATATGAATTTAAATGTATATATATATATATATATATATATATATATATATATATAGATCTACTCCATCTGTCTCAAAAAGGATGTCGCGTTTGGGGAACCAAGACTAACAATTTGTGAGTCACGGTTCCCCAAATGCAATATCTTTTGTGGGATGGAGGTAATATATAAAATTAATAAGTCTATCACAAGTAAATTCTCGTTAGGAGTTCAATTAAATGGTACTAAAATCTAGAAATGTACTTTCATAAATTTTCGATTCTCTCATCACATTATTAAGTTAAGTGAAACAGAACCCTACATAGTTCAATCCCAACAAAAAATGATACTGTGATGTTGTACGTTTCTAAATTTTGGATGTTACTTTAGAAATGTTTCTTTTCCTTTATTTTTATTTTTATTTTTATTTTTATTTTACTTTAGAAATGTTTCTTTTTCTTTATTTTTATTTTTATTTTTATTTTTTTTTAAAATATGGATTTGGATATTTTCCAAATAGTATTTTTGTCCAAGCATTTCCAAAGAAACCATCCATTAGAAATGTGCTCAATTACCGGTAATGAATAGGTTGATGCACAATTTAATTCTGACAAAAAAATGATAATATCAAAATATGACAACCTCCCCCCAATTCAGGCCTGAGGCTGGCTGGTAAAACCCGGGTGTGCAAGGTGGACCCCACACCAAGCACACCAAATAAAGACTAGTGGAGTTTTGATGATTTCGTGGACTTTGCCCCGCATCTCAACCATCGCGGCGACACTTTAAGAGAGTTGTCGACTTTAATTATTGTTCATGTACGATCCATACTAGATCTGACCAATTATCTCCTCTACATTCTTGATAGCCCATCTTTGTCTTATTAGAATCTTTTAGTGCCATGTTTCGGTTCTCTTTTCCATTACTTAAAATAAGTGAGTCATTGGTTCAGGTATAAGATACTATCGACTACTTTTATGTGAATAGTTTAGGAATTTTAATAACATCGTGAGTATATGTAAGCCAATACTAAAAAAAAAAATTGTCCAACTTCACTCTAAACTGTTATTGTAAAAAAAAATTCAAAATTGGGGAAAGGGTGCTTTTAAGTTTGTCTATATAAAATCTTCATTAATTACCATAATTATCTACTATTAACAGAGTTTTGGTAATAATAATAATAATAATTAGCTACTAGCTGGTTTGTAACAGATTAGTCCACTGCTGGAAATATTGAACTATTTACTAGTAGATTCCACGAAATTGCAATTGTCATTTTGTCATGTGGGGTGTTGGTCATATAAATTAACACCACAGTTACTTGCCCAAAAAGAAATTGACTACACAATTGTCACTCTCATTTTTGTTGCTATATCCTCTCTCTCTATATAAGTACCGTGTGTGTATATTAATAGCATCTCTTACTCGATATACACCACAGTCCAACTAATTCAGAGTGAGAGAGTGTCCAAAAAAAAAAAAAAAACAGAGGAAAAGAAATGGAAAGTGGATGGAAAAAATGGGGTTTCCAAGGAAATGAAGAGCTGAACATGGCATCGGGCATGACCATCAGAGGTATTCTAACCACATTAATGGAAAATCTAAATGAATCTGATGACAGACCACCAATTCCTCTGGGCCATGGTGACCCCTCTGTCTTCCCCTGCTTCCAAACCACTCCAGTGGCCGAAGACGCCATTGTTGATGCTGTTCGATCGGCTAAATTCAACTGCTATGCTCCGGTGGTTGGTATTCTTCCAGCCAGGAGGTATGATAGCTTTTATTTTATCACGAATTGAGATTCGTTACAACTCCTCAAGTGACTGTGCTCATGTTCATATTTCTTGCTCTAATTTGTTAAAAAATATATATATAAAAACGTAATATGTGTACATAAAAAGTTTATTTATTTATTTTTAATTTTTAAGTGTTTTGTAGATATAATATGTGTACATAAATAGTGTTGCTCTTGGCGACCCCACAAAGAGTTTCAATTCAAGTTCTTCACCTACTTTCCTTAATTTGAAATATAACAAAAATGTCCAGTATCTCCCACTAATAAAAAGTGTATATTGTTCAACATCCAAAAATCTTGAGTTTGAAATCAAATTTGCCATTAAATAAAAAATACGCAATTTGATATAATATGTAAAATCAAATTTGCGAGGAGGTATGATAACTTCTATTTTATCACTGAATTGAAATCGAAGCGACTGTGCTCGTGTTCATATTTCTTTCTCTAATTTGTTAAAAAATATACGTATAAAAACATAATATGTGTACATAAAAAGTTTATTTATTTATTTTTAATTTTTAAGTGTTTTGTAGATATAATATGTGTACATAAATAGTGTTGCTCCTTGCGCCCCCACAAAGAGTTTCAATTCAAGTTCTTCACCTACTTTCCTTAATTTGAAATATAACAAAAATGTCCAGTATCGCCCACTAACAAAAAGTGCATATTGTTCAACATCCAAAAATCTTGAGTTTGAAATCAAATTTACCATTAAATAAAAAATACGCAATTTGATATAATATGCAAAATCAAATTTGCGAGGAGGTATGATAGCTTCTATTTTATCACTGAATTGAGATCGTTACAACTTTTTAAGCGACTGTGGTCATTGTCATATTTCTTTCTCTAATTTGTTAAAAAATATATATATAAAAACATAATATGTGTACATAAAAAGTTTATTTATTTATTTTTAATTTTTAAGTGTTTTGTAGATATAATATGTGTACATAAATAGTGTTGCTCCTTGCGCCCCCACAAAGAGTTTCAATTCAAGTTCTTCACCTACTTTCCTTAATTTGAAATGTAACAAAAAAGTCCATTATCTCTCACTAAAAAAAAGTGCATATTGTTCAACATCCAAAAATCTTGAGTTTGAAATCAAATTTTCCATTAAATAAAAAAAAAAAAAAAAAAAATTCTAAACAAATCTTTACCATGTCGTCAATTTCATCAATTCTCACACCTCAAAAAACAGTCATTCTGAATTTCTGATTTCAGAACCTCTATAGGCCACGTATAGGTTTCACAAATTCTTAAATTTTAATGTCACTTTCCTGTGACAAACTTTCTGCATAGAATCCTTCAAAATTTCCACGTGACTTTTGTGATGTTGTGGCCTGAATTTGGTGAATACGATTTGTTTATGACCCAATGATTCGTTGGATGAGTTTTGTGTGGGCTTGTTTTTTAACTTGTGAGTTGTGGACCCTTCTAATTAGTATTCTTGTAAACCGATGTATAAGGTTGTTTAGGGTTTAAAGTGATTGAGAGATACTGAAAATCGCATAGAGAAGAGAGTGAGAGGCTGAAAATTGTAATCTTCAATTTTAGACAGTGAAGACTTTCACTGGATCTCCAACGTGAATATAGATTTTGCTTACTTATCTATTATGTTTCGTGATTATTGTTTGGGTTCGCTGTGTTTCTTGTAACAACTTTTTTTCAATGATAGAAATTCTTGATTTACTCATCAATCAGTATTTTTCCTTATAAATCTTTATTAGGAAGAGTAGTTATGCAGATTTGCAGTGTAGAAACATCACGATGTCACCAAATTGAACAGAAATGATTCAAATGGAGTCGTTTTTCCAATTCAGTAACACCATTTACCAAAAAACTCAACGAAACACAAACTCATTTGCATAAAATAAAAAACATAACAAATAGCTCATAATGCTCGTTCATGAAATATTGCACTAATTAGCTCAATTCAATGTTTCCATGTTTATAACAGGTCCATTGCAGAGAAACTTTCATGTGATCTACCATTTAATTTAACACCTGATGATATCTACCTCACTGTTGGCGCCAACCATGCCATTGAAATCATACTAACAGTCCTTGCTCGTCCCGGTGCCAACATATTGCTTCCTAGACCAGGCTATCCATTCTACGAAGCTCGCGCTGCAGTTAGCCATCTTGAAGTTCGCCATTTTGACCTTATCCCGGAAAAAGGTTGGGAGGTTGATCTTGATGGTGTGGAAGCCCTTGCAGATGACAAAACTGTTGCTATGGTTATCATCAATCCCGGAAACCCATGTGGGAATGTTTTCACATATGAACATTTGAAGAAGGTTGGATAATTAACCTCTTTTTTAATTTCTTTCCTTTATTTTATTTTTTATTTGACATTTGTAGAATTTCTTTATAGGTTGCAGAGACTGCAAGAAAGCTTGGGATTTTAGTGATTGCAGATGAAGTTTATGCTCACCTAGTGTTTGGGAGTAACCCTTCTGTGCCAATGGGAATGTTTGGATCAATCTCACCTGTGATGACACTAGGTTCTATCTCAAAGAGATGGATTGTCCCCGGTTGGCGTCTTGGTTGGATAGCAACAACTGATCCAAATGGCATCCTTCACAAAACTAGGGTTAAATTCCTGTGTCTCTCTTTCCACATTTTATATATTTTGTTCTTGCATTCATACTTTAAGCATTGGACATGAAAAAGACATATTTGTGATTCTGTGGTAGACCATTGAAACCTGTTCTAACTGTACGTTTTGTCGGCGCCATATTGCTTGTGAGCTGAAAAGAATTTTAATCTACCATTTACCGGATACCATCTAACATGTAATTAGATTTATTATAATAATCTCAGATCATAATTCGGACTTGAAATGTTTTCGTTTCTTAAAGCATTTTATATGGTTTTCACCTTCCTGAGTTTCTATATAGTTGATTAATGTTAATACACTACTCCATCATTTAAGTCCCTTCATATAATTAGGAGAGTTGTATTGACATGTATATGTATGTTTCTGATAACATGATGTGTAGATAAATTGTAAGCCTTTCTTCACTTTCTGCAATAAGAAATATAGTTATAGTGTGTCGATATTTTATTTAATTATCTCAAACATTTCACAATTTAATCTTATGCCACAGTGCTAAAAAACTTGTCCCTACTGGTGATCATTTGGCTTTTTTTCCAAGACCTAATGAATTTTGAATATATTATGGAAATTCGATTAGTTCATTTGTTGTATGGCGTACTTACTTAATGTTCAGCCAATATATATACAGAGTGCTTATATGTCTTGAAAATTCACATAGTAATTTTTTTTTTTTTTGTTTCCTTGTTTTAGATTACTGAGTGTTTGAAGAGCTATGTCAACCTCACCGCTGATCCTGCAACCATTACTCAGGTATGTAATTCGAAACGCCGCTTTCTGAAGACCATGTTATTCATAAACAGTGCATAAAATTGCACAGGTACTGCTAGTGTCCTAATTTTAACTACAAAACCAACTTGTTATGAATTATTTGGGAGCTATTTACTTATATTCTTAACTATGAAATTTTGTAGACTTTATTATTAGTTCAATAGTTTTATTATCATCTGTCCTCTAATAATATTGTTTTTAAACTACGTAACACATAATTAATGAAAATAATGGTATGTGGTCTATGTGTGTATTAGGGGGCAGTTCCTCAGATCATTGAGAGAACGCCAGAGGATTTCTTTTCGAAGATTATTGGTATGATCAAAGAAGCTGCAGATACTTGTTACGACAAACTCGAGGAAATTCCTTGCATCACCTGCCCACACAAACCAGAAGGATCCATGTTTGTAATGGTAACAGCATATATAGTAAATTTTGAACTGTTTTTATGCTTCTAAGTAAATTTTTTGAACAACTTTTTACTGATCATGTTTATGTTTTCATTGCAGGTGAAGCTAAATCTGCAAATTTTGGAAGGCATAAACGATGATACAGAGTTCTGTATCAAGCTTGCTAAGGAGGAATCTGTGATTGTTCTGCCAGGTGAGATAGCTCACATTGAATTAAATACCACAATTTTTTTTCGCATTTCTCACCTTTATTAAAGGACGCCAACGAATTGAATTTTAAGTTGTCAGCATTACTAAGTGATGTAATTGGTAGAGTATCGAACTCTCTCAACAGGTGTAACTGTGATTGACTCACCCTCCCCTAGTTTGCCCAAGGACAAAAAATAAAAAAATAAATAAATAAAATGTCGACCGGACTATATTGGGCTTGACCCGTTTCATAGTTACATTTTAATGTCTCATTTACCTCCTTTTGTATATGTGTGTGTGTTTTTTTTGTTTGGGCTGAGCTTAGTTATATTGACCCAAGTATACCCGGCCTAATAGGTAGACCTATTCCCGTAATTAGAGTTTGAAATGTAAATCCAGATATGGATCCGTAATTTAATGTCAGGATCCATATTGGAATTGTATCCTATAGAAATGATTCATCTTGGATTCAAATAAACACTCTTGATCTGGGTCGGATCTTGGATAAAACCTTACCGAATTAAAATTTACCCATATTCATGTTTAACCCGAATTTATTGTGGATCTTTAAGATCCATATCAGACCTATTTTTGGATTCGGATTCAAATTAAATTCAAAACCCTTCAAAATGGACCTAGGATCGGATCTTCGGTCAAACTTGATCCATTTCAAGCCCTACCTATAATAGATACTATAATATTACATCTGCGGTTAAGATTATGTATCATTGTCATTCTATTCTGACCATTTTTTTTTTGCGAAAAGGCAAGAGATTTCATTAGCTAAACACGGAAAAGGCAGAAACAAATACATCAACAGCTGGAACTAAAATCCACAGCCATACAGCTTTGAAAGCGCAACTTGCTTACTGGTGTGCCACACCATTAGCCGCACCACGCATAGACACAATTGGGTGCGAAAAGACCCTGAACATCTTTAATAATAACTCCTAACAACACGAGTTCCACTATAAATTTTGATAAACTTTTCAGAACAAAGTACTCCCACCGTCTCAATAAGTGACCCTTTTGAAGTCTCAGACCTTTTAACGAACAATCATTTAATGTATATCCCTCATTGCAATTGCAAAGCTAATCCTTTAAAATTTTAAATTTTACATTGTCAATTTGGACAAGTTCTCAAAATTCAAAGTTATTTTTGATTTTTTTTTTTTTTTGAAAAAAATTACATATTTTATTTCTTTCATCTCAATTTGTTCGTAATATATATGCAACAGTAGTTTCAAAATGTAGCTTCTGAATTGAATTAGCATCAACTGACCATAGCATATCTTGCAGGGATTGCCGTGGGAATGAAGAATTGGCTGCGCATAACTTTTGCTGTGGCGCTTTCATCTCTTGAAGATGGCCTTGGGAGAATCAAAGCCTTCTGTTTGAGGCATGCCAAGAAGACTTGATAGAATTCCTTGGTTCCTCCAAACCATAAGATTTGAGTCCTGATGATCAACCTCAGTTGATTGGATCCAAATGTTTGTAATATATAATAGTGGCATAAGTATGTGAACTTTGAGATATATTGTTATTTAGAATTATCTTGGTCATTCAAGTCTAAGAATAATTCTCATTCTGCTAAAGTTTCGAGACATAAGATGTGTTGGGAGAGATGACAATAAACAAACACAGCGGAATAATTCTTCTCCCTATATGCAAGCAAATATAATATATCTATACTTTTATATGTGCTGAAAATAATAGAGAACAAATCAATCACACCAAGCCACAAGAACACAAGCAATTTTTTACGTGGAAAACTTCTCCAGTGTGAGGAAGAAAAACCACAGGACCTAGTCCAGTTAAAATCTCCACTATCAACCAAATAATGGGTACACAAAGTCTTCTCTAATCGCAATTAGAGGTTACAAAATATCTCATCAAGATAACAACAATCTTGACAAAAAACAAAGAGAATTGGAGAGAAAAATACCAAAACCCGGTTACTATTCATAGGCACGAATCACTGTTCCTGAGCTCAAAATCTGATCTTCACCGTTCAGATTGTGGATCACTGAGTCATGAACCTCTCCTCCAAATTTCAACTAGATCGGACCACGGACGAAGCAGGATTGGACATTTGATCAAACCTGGGCAGAATGGAAAAAACCTGCGTTTTTCTTCTCTTTGTTCTTCCACTTGCGGCTAACCTCTCTCTCTTTTTATACTAACTTCCTTAGGGTTTTTTTTTTTTTTCCCTAAAGGCTAGGCTTTGGGCTTTTAATAAAACCCACTTGGGCTTTCCTCCATATAGAAGAAAATAAACCCAACAAATCTCCCCTTTCTAACTATGTGGAGGGAATCGCCATCCCGACAATCGAACAACAAACTTCAAGCTTCTCTCTTGGTAATGTCTTTGTCAACATATCAGAGCTATTATCATCAGTGTGAACCTTCTTAAGTTCAAGTAACTTATTGTTCAACGCATCTCTGATCCAATGGTATCGTACATCAATGTGCTTAGATCTTGCATGGAAACTAGAATTCTTAGCAAGATGAATAACACTCTGGCTATCACAAAACAACACATACCTCTGCTGCTTGAAACCAAGTTTTCTTAAGAACTTCTTTGCCCATAGGAACTCTTTAGTCGCTTCCATTGCTGCAATAAACTTTGCCTCTGTCATAGAAAGAACAATACACTTCTGAAGTCTCATTTGCCAACCTACAGCCCCACCTGCAAAAGTGATCAAATAACCTGAAGTAGACCTAAGAGTATCCACATCCCCTGCCATATCTGCATCTGTGTAGCCAACTAACAATGGTTGTCCGTTTCCCAAACCAATTCTTAAACTGGAAGTGCCTCGAAGATATCTCATGATCCACTTCACTGCATTCTAATGCTCTCTTCCCAGATTTGACAAGAATCGGCTAACTACACCAACTGCATGGGCTATATCTGGTCTTGTACAAATCATTACATACATCAAAATTCTTACTGCTCAGGCGTAAGGAACTCTTTCCATGTCTCCCTTTTCCTTATCTGTAGAAGGACATGCCTTTGTACTCAGTCTGAAGTGGGTAGCAAGAGGAGAGCTAACCACTTTAGAGTTGTCCATATTGAACCTCTGAAGCACTTTTTCAATGTACTCCTCCTGTGACAAATATAACTTCTTGGCACTCCTGTCACGACTGATTCTTATGCCAAGAATTTTCTTTGCTGGCCCCAAATCCTTCATAGCAATTGACTTACTCAATTGCTTCTTCAACTGTTCAATGCTTGAAGCATTCCTGCCAACAATCAACATGTCATCCACATAAAGCAGTAGAATAATAAAATCATCATCCGAGAATTTTTGAACAAATACACAGTGATTAGAAGTTGTCTTCTTATAGCCTTGCTTTCCCATAACAAACTCAAACTTCTTATACCACTGTCTCGGTGCTTGTTTCAAACCATATAGGCTTTTCTTCAGCTTGCACACATAATCCTCTTTCCCTTTCACTTTGAAACCTTCTGGCTGCTTCATATAAATCTCTTCCTCTAAATCACCATGAAGGAAGGCAGTTTTCACATCCATCTGCTCAACTTCCAAGTCAAGACTAGCTGCTAGGCCGAGTGCTATACGGATCGATAACATCTTTATGACTGGAGAGAAGATCTCATCAAAGTCAATACCTTTTCTCTGACCGAACCCTTTGACAACCAATTTAGCTTTGTACTGTGGCCGTGAAGATAACTCATTTTGCTTCTTCCTGTAAATCCACTTGTTTTCCAAAGCTCTTTTTCCTTTAGGTAGCTTCACTAACTCAAAGGTGTGGTTATCATGCAATGACTGCATCTCATCTTGTATGGCCTCAACCCACTCTCTCTTTTGTTCATCTTCTATGGCTTCTGCAAAACACTGGGGTTCTCCCCCGTCAGTCAATAACATATACTGCTCTGCTGAATATCGAGTGGAAGGACGTCGTTCTCTGCTAGACTTCCTGATGGAATCACTGGTGGAATCTCTAGCGCTGTCAACTGTTCATCAGTCTCAACATCTCCCTGAACCTGTAAGGGAACATCCACATCACCTGTACACTGGTGGTCATCCTGACCATCATTCTCAACCTTAGATGGCAGATTCTTCAGAGGAGCTGGATCCATATCAGTCAAGATATCACCTTGTTGAGACATAGATTTCCCTGCTTTCTCAATATCCTTAATCGTCTGATCTTCTACAAACACGACATCTCTGCTTCTCACAATTTTCTTCTCAACTGGATCATAAAGCTTGTACCCAAACTCATCTTGGCCATAGCCAAGGAATATACACTGTCACGTTTCACATCAAGTTTGGACCTTTCATCTTTTGTAATATGCACAAATGCTTTGCACCCAAAAACTCGCAGATGATTATATAATACATCCTTACCTGTCCAAACTCGGTCTTGCACATCAAACTGTAAAGGAACACAGGGTGTAAGATTCAACACATGAACAACTATGCTCAATGCCTCCCCCCAAAAAGATTTTGGCAATTGGGCTTGTGAAAGCAAACATCTCATTCTCTCAACCAGTGTCCTGTTTATCCTTTCTACTATGCCATTCAACTGAGGAGTTTTTGGAGTTGTCTTTTGATGCCGGATACCCTGTTGTCTATAATACTCATCAAAAGGACCAGAATACTCTCCGCCATTATCAGTACGAATGCATCTCAGTTTCTTCCCAGTCTGTCTTTCAACTAGGTCTTGGAATTGCTTGAACACTGCCAACACTTGGTCTTTTGAATTTAAGGTATATACCCACAACTTCCTTGAATAGTCATCTATGAAGGTCACAAAGTATCTCGACCCACCAAGTGTTCTCGTCTTCATAGGGCCACACACATCTGAATGTACCAAATCCAGTATCTCTGACTTTCTCGAATGAGGGGAATTCTTGAAGGAGACTCTGCTCTGCTTCCCTAACAAACAATGAGTACACCTTTTCAGAAGTGTACTTTTCAGTCCACATAGTAGACTTTTCTTCCCTAGTAGAGCTAATCCTTTCTCACTCATGTGAGCCAGTCTCTTGTGCCACAATTCTGTTGTATCATTATCCTCCATCGCATTAACAATGTCGTTGGAGATCTTTTTCTGCAGAACGTACAGTGCAGAGTGTTTCATACCTCGAGCCACAACCATAGCACCCCTAGTGAGCTTCCACTGGTCATCACTGAAAGTGCTGCAATACCCTTCATCATCAAGTTTACCTGCAAAAATCAAATTCAAGCGAATGTCAGGAATATGCTTCACATATCTGAGAACTAACCTCGTGCCATTATTCATCTTCAGATACACATCCCCAATTCCAATGACTTTAACCAAGCCAACGTTGCCCATCTTTACTATTCCAAAATCACCAGATTTATAAGATGTAAAGAAATCCTTCCGAGATGTAGCATGAATGGAGGCACTACTGTCAATCACCCAACTAGTCTCATGGTATGCAACATTTATCATCTCATCATCATAAACAATGAGGAAGTCTGTAGGAGTGGTGGTAGCAACTCTGTCATCACCATCTTTATCATCTCCATTCTTCGTTCCCTTCCCTTTCTCATTCTTGTTTTCTTTCTTCAATTGCCTGCAATATTTCTTGATGTGTCCTTTTTTCCCGCAATGATGACACTCAACATTTGCAAACTTGTTGAACTTGCTTCTGTTGTTATCTCTATTCTTCGGACCTCTGCTCTTATTTCTCCCCCTCTTTTCTGTAACCAAGATCTCTACTGTGAAGAGGATCCTTGTGTTTTTCTTCTCATCTCTTCATTTAGCAAACAACTTTTGGCCATATTCATTGTGATTACACCTTCTGGAGCGGAGTTAGACAATGAAGTTCTGAGCGTCTCCCACGAGTCTGGTAATGAACCAAGCAACAATAACCCTTATATCTCATCATCAAACTTAATACCCATTCCAGCCAGTTGATTAATAATTCCTTGGAATGTATTCAGGTGATCAGATAAAGGAGTCCCATCCTGGTATCTCAAAGCCATCATCTGCTTAATCAGAAACAATTTATTATTTCCAGTCTGTCTAGTATATAGCTGTTCAAGCTTAGTCCATAGAGAACGTGCATGTGTCTCTCCACTAATATGGTTCAAAACATTATCATCTACCCACTGCCTGATATACCCACACACCCGTCGATGTAACAATGTCCATTCCACATCAGATTTGTTTTTTGGTTTTTCAGTACTAAACACCCGTAGGTAATAATCTTTCACATAAAGAAGATCCTCCATTTTTCCTTTCCATATGTGATAATTTGAACCATTAAAATTAATCATTCTATTTGTATTTGCTTCCATAACTCAAACTGCCAACCTGACAATCTGTCAACCTAGTGCTTTGATACCACTTTGTTGGGAGAGATGACAATAAACAAATACAACGGAATAATTCTTCTCCCTATATGCAAGCAAATATAGTATATCTCTACTTTTATATGTGCTGAAAATAATAGAGAACAAATCAATCACACCAAGCCACAAGAACACAGACAATTTTTTACGTGAAAAACTTCCCTAGTGTAAGGAAGAAAAACCACGGGACCTAGTCCAGTTAAAATCTCCACTATCAACCAAATAATGGGTACACAAAGTCTTCTCTAATTGCAATTAGAGGCTACAAAACATCTCATCAAGATAGCAACAATCTTGGCAAAAAATAAAGAGAATTGGAGAG